GATGATGATGATGATGATGATTCGGCTTCCACAGAGCAGTTTTAGCGATCGCTGTCAGTGGCTGCAGATTCCTTTCTAAATGAAGTTAAGTGGGACGGAGACAGCTAGACTCAAATGAGGGATGAGTTTCTCGGCAAAGCAAAATATTTTGACTAAAGCTGTAGCTGGTTCTGCCCCCATAAATCACGATAGCTTTTGTCTTTCAGGTGTTGACTTTCATACCCATTATGTCCAAGTCAACCTCAGCAGCTTCAAGCTTCTCCTTAAGTACACGCAACCAAGTCGACAGCAAAAGCAAAACCATCATTAAGGTGTCTTGGAACTACTAGCGTATTTGCAACATCGGCAATCCAAGAACCTCATTCGTTGCCATGATGAAAAACATTGGGAAGAGTAAATCTCTCTGCTTTATTCCTCTTCGGCAGTGGATCTCCGAATGGGGGGAATTTAATAACATTCTAATAGCATCTGACTAGAGGATGAAGCTAAGCTTATAACGGCAAAGTAGGTTCCAAAAGCCTGTCTTGAAATAGAAATGCAATCGAGAGAGAAGGCCGATTCAACCTACGGTTCCATAGATCAGAAAGCACTTTAGAAACCATCCGAACCACAATGGATGAAATGGAAACTGGTCTAAGTTGGTCTAATCTAGTCAGATTTGGGACTTTTGGAGCTGCGGTAATCTGGGCATGGCACGAATGCGTTGGACAACAGATAATAACAGTAAGTTGAAATATCTGGCAAGGGTATTGGCATTGACTCGACAAAGCATTCTGGGTGTCAGGTTGTCCAAACCTGAAGACGTATTGCTAATAAAGCGGACCGCATGGCCAACTTCTCCAGTGTTTGGCTCGATCAAAATTGAGTAATATAGCAACATCGTGCAACATTGGGGCAAAAAACGGATACCAGAAATCTTCATTCGGCAAGGCTGATCTGCAGTATGCGGTGTGTGGTACGCGTGTTCGCGGTGTTCACTCAGTCTAATCTCTTGCAGGAACACTCAACACAGATTCATTGAAGATTCATACCAGTACTCTCATGGAACTGAACACAATTATGGGCTAAACGCAGTCATTGCGCGTGAGCCCCACGAGTCTCTCCTGCTTTTCGGGCGGAACTGGTGCAGAGATGTCAGCTGGATCACTGCCAAAAGTAACAAGTACGCTGGAGCCAAAAAGGGCGTTTTGTTTCGCCTGAAGTCGTTGAAATCTTAGCCCACCCAGGGTGATGTCCAGGTTACTCAGTCGGCACCACTACAAAGTAGTTCAGTGCGTGAGGGATTCACCATAACGAGGCCACTACCCTCACCACTAGCGGGTGACTGGAAAGCTTAGGAAGAATTAAGTGCCCATTAAAACGTATGATGTGACGTATTATCGTATCGTTAATATGGGTCGAACAAATGTAGATTTTCTCAGGCTTCCAAACAAGTAAATAGTTTCGCATGCAATGACCACTTCCGGTGGTCAGTGGTTGAGTCGAAATTAACCTAACGAACGACCGCTATCGCTGACAAATTTTCCGCTCCACTACTGCATGCGCAATGCAAGCACAGCCAAGTTAAATCATTTCTTACAAGTATGTGTTCGTGAGCTCTTTGCAGAATCTGTGGCCAAGCTATTTTAGGTTGCCATGTTAAATCAAATCCATTAATGCATGTGTAATGTGAGCTCTTTGCAGAATCTGTGACCAAGCTATTTTAGGTTGGTTAAATCAAATCCATTAATGCATGTGTAAGATCGTTTCGGGGAATGTGAACCTTCTAGGAAGAACGCAGGCATGAGTCCGTTCTGGCAAATTTTTGGCGGTTGTTTGCTGGTAGACTTTGAAGAGGCGAGCTAGAGCCTTTCTTCTTCTCCAGCTTGAATACAGCCTTGTGGAGTCGTTACTAAGACTAAGACTAAGAATTACGATGACTACTAAGACGGTTACTAAGACTCAAGACGCAGTTAACAATGGTTCATGCTAATCTTCGATTATTGGTCATCGATTTCCCATCGCTCAATCTGTTCCAGGTATGGTCTACATTAGCACATCCACACTCAGTTGGGAGCCACTCTTACAGGGTTGGCTACTTTCAAGACCGAAGAAAGAGGCTGACTCTCTACTGGAACTGTTCAGGAACTCTTATTCCACACTGTTTCAATATGCGAGTCGGCATCTTAATTTCAAAACCAAGGTCTTAGAAGCATTTGTGGTTCGACAGGCATGCGATGTTTTGGCAGGGATTTTACCTTCAAAGGATGAGAAAGAACGACCTCCAGTGAGTTTCATACCAGTGTAATTGTGTTGATAGACCTTTTGGATGACCATAAACAACCCTATATGTTTTTGAAATATTTCCTGCACATGTGAGCTTCTGGATTGCATCTCAGAAGTGTGCTCTATTAAATACAAAGTCACTAATAAATACACAAGTTTTGTTTACACAAATGATATTAAAAGAATTGTGGTACCACCTAACCACCCTATAACACTCAGTATTATTGTTGGATCCGTAAGGTAAATCACATTGTGCTTAGCAGCTTTGAGAACGAAACGTTGTAGCCTTATTCGGTTTCTGTTTATAGGCGTTAAACACAGCACACCTATACAGAGTAGTAAGTCGACCGTCCTAAAGTTGCCAACCTGTCATGGTGATCATGTTTCAGTGCTAAAATTCTACAGATGCCGCAGCCCAGTTCTATAAGGTTCAGTGATGCCAGAAACACCAATGAGAAGCAGTCCGATGAAGAGCAACAGGTTTCCATACTACGAGAAATCGCGTTACGCGGCGGTTGGGAGGTAACCTCCCGCAGTTCGGTGCGGCATTGGTGTGCCTGTACCAAGGTAGTTCTTCATAGAAAAACTAGACTCTAAAGATCGCACACTCTGATCACTCAGCGAGTGACCGTGACAGCCAGCGGATTCTCTAATAGGGTCTACATACTGTTAAAAAATCAAGAGTTGGGAGCTACTCGAAAGGCAGATACTTCCCACAGTAGCAATATGAGTCAGATTTTCATGTATTATTTCGGGTTCTTTGGCTAGGTTAGTCCCCATCGCCCATTCAGACAGAAAATGAGATCAAAGGTTCGAGGAGCGTTGGGGTGCTGTTACAGTACGACGCAGTTTATCCTATTAAATCCCGATAACAAGCACAAATGGAATGGATACAACATCACAGGGTCAAACCACGGATGGAAGGTTTTATCCACAGATCCAATTTTCGATTGAATACACGTTCTCTGAGAAGCAGTCCGATGAAGAGCAACAGGTTTCCATACTACGAGAAATCGCGTTACGCGGCGGTTGGGAGGTAACCTCCCGCATTGGGGTGCCTGTACCAAGGTAGTTCTTCATAGAAAAACTAGACTCTAAAGATCGCACACTCTGATCACTCAGCGAGTGACCGTGACAGCCAGCGGATTCTCTAATAGGGTCTACATACTGTTAAAAAATCAAGAGTTGGGAGCTACTCGAAAGGCAGATACTTCCCACAGTAGCAATATGAGTCAGATTTTCATGTATTATTTCGGGTTCTTTGGCTAGGTTAGTCCCCATCGCCCATTCAGACAGAAAATGAGATCAAAGGTTCGAGGAGCGTTGGGGTGCTGTTACAGTACGACGCAGTTTATCCTATTAAATCCCGATAACAAGCACAAATGGAATGGATACAACATCACAGGGTCAAACCACGGATGGAAGGTTTTATCCACAGATCCAATTTTCGATTGAATACACGTTCTCTCAGCTATTTAAGGACCGTAAAACCATAGGAAGGTGTATGGAGTGGGGAAATTTTTAAAGCTGCAGTAGTTGTGTTCCGTTGGGAGGACGGTATAAGGTGTCTACCACATGGATTATGAAGAGTCGCCCTCCTCTAGTACTAACATCTCTTAGATTAGACTAGTGTTGGTTGATCCAATGGAGCTTCGGTCCAAAAGGGTCAAAAGGAACTACTTTTGGTTGCCCACATAGTATTTTCAAAACATTACAACTATGTATAAGAGTTCCTTTAATTGAGTACTGTTGACGGGAATACGTCTTAAAATAGTTATCACATATTATTAAATGAAAAAATTTTCAAAGACACCCTTATGAATGCAGCTGTTTCTGAGTCCTGAAGTTAACCATTGACATCTGCAAGTTAAATTCAAAGATATGCTAGTTACAAATAAAACAGGAGATTTATATCACCTAAAAAAGTCACCCTACAATCCTTCAATCGATTGTATGCATACTTCTGAAGATATCACAGTCCGCAATATTCAGGCACTCGTGATAACAGATGGTAAATTTTGTATTGCATTTAATGCCCTTGTTCCGTTAAAAACCATTATCTAATCACCAACTGTTGCGTGGAGGTTGAACGAAGCCTTTTCTGCTGACAGGAACGATCCATTCCCGAAATCAAATTGACGGAAATTCCTGATGAAGTATAAAGATGGCTGGATAGGGCATGCTAGTTTAAGCAAGGTAAACTTCGTTTCTATTCCTTTTTGCTTCAGGTAACCCAAAGACATCTTGCACGGCTTTATGCATTTGCAATACTATGGAGTATCGGGGCTCTTCTGGAGTTAGACGATCGAGGAAAACTGGAATCTTTCATCAGACAACATGACAGCATTCGTTTGGATCTTCCCCCACTGTCAATAGGCTCCAACGACTCGGCGTTTGACTTCCTGGTTTCGGAGGCTGGAGAATGGATTCACTGGTCAACACGTGTGGAGGAGTTTGTTTACCCAACAGACCATACTCCCGAGTACAGCAGTCTCCTAGTGCCGAACGTAGATAACGTACGCACTGAGTTTCTCATCGATATTATCTCAAAGCAGGTCAAGTCTGTGTTACTGATCGGTGAACAAGTAAGTATCTGGGGTCTACGTATCGAAAAAAAGTTGAAACTTGTAAGATTTGCACCTGTCAATGGTACGAGCTATGGGAGTTCTTAAGATCAACGGCGTCTGGTGAAAGTGGTTCAAACTCCTAGATATCTGAACTCTCAACTTTTCTTGTGCAGTGGCATGTTTCAAGACTTGTGGCTCATCTCTGGTTCCACCACCATGGACTGAAGGTACCAGTCCGACTTTTCGTTTTATCTCCCCACAAAATGCTAATCTTGTCACCATTCTCATCCGGAACGATTCTGGTGATGTGAATTGCAAACAGATTGTGTTCAGTAACTTAGTCAAAATGCAGGTAATATCGTCTTCTGGATAAATCTGTCTGTTATCGAAAACAGTTTTGGAAAAAAATAAGCTTGTTCTGATTTTTCTTGGGAACAAACTTGGGATGCAAAGTCTTCTCATTACAACCGGTCCACACTGATTAGTTTCGGTAGACTTGCACTCAACTTCTATGATAGTGTCTCCCGTATATTGCTGGGGCTGTGTCAGACTTTGATGCAAATTAACAGGGTAAGTGGCCAACATCGATTGCTCCTAAGTCTTTCAACCCAGGTTTTCTCGCCATTTTTTTACATTCCAATTAAAATCCTTTCGTCTGGTTTATCTTTGAGAGGGTTCCTTTGTGTTATAGAGGCTGTATTATCTGAATCTGATGAACTCTACTCTATTGTGTAAAAACCGGTCTCAGCAATGCAGTTACGACCGTTTTATTTCTACCATCACTGGCACACAACAAAAATACCGTAAAAAACTGGAAAACAATGACAAATGTTTCAATCTTATAGAAGAAGTACCATCTATTATGGATTCTTGGAGCTGTACTTAAGGAATTTATATCTTTAGTATTTTCTTTGAAAATACCGGCAGAGAGCCATCAAAACGCTTTTACTGCTCTGTTTTAAATGTTCATTTTGTATTTTCAAGGGCACGGCAAAAACGGTGATCATCAACAAGTATCTTAGCCGGTATGATCCGGAATTTCACGAAACACGAACCATGAACTTCTCAAGTGTGACCACACCCAATTTGATTCAAAAAACCATCGAAAGCTTTGTGGATAAACGTCTCGGGAATACTTACGGTCCGCCTGCGGGACGAAAAATGACGGTCTTTTTTGATGATATCAGTATGCCAATTGTGAACGAATGGGGTGACCAGGTAGGGTAAAATTTCTGTGTGCATGTTGTGTATTCAGGCTAATAATCACATTAGATTTGTTGACAGAATGCTCCCGCTTGTAGTCAAGCTACATTTTTGATAAACCTCGTGAGAGGAGGGCTATTATCCAAACTCATGGTATCCCTAGACAGTGAACGCTCTAAGCAAGTACAGTGGTTGCTGCAGCTTGCTTATATCAATCATTTTGTGCAAAAATGCTCGTGAGTAACTCCTTGTTCAAACGATCTGTTGAAATTAGCAACCACGACCGGTGCTACCGGCCTCATTTAGCAGAGAACACCGAGATAACAGAATATGCATTGGCGTCATTCAAAATTCACCAAAAAACGGCAACCGATCACTCAAATTTAGCGTTCTCACCGAGAATCACAAGGTGATTCATACAGTGACGCAAATCAACACACCACTTTACGCCACTTTCTGGCAAATGAACATTGGGTTGCAGCCAAGATACCAGCAAGACCAACTGATCAAATGTCAGTATAATGGCCTACAACTGAAGCATCGTATAGCCTTTGTGCAGTAACAATCTATTGAGATTTGTCTCACTAAGAGTGCGAGTTAAACATTCTTAAGAGCTCGCCTCTATTCTCCTAAACTTTTACACAATAGTTAGGTCTGTCACTTCATGTCATTGCTCTCTGTCTTCAAATTTTTCGTAAACTAGGAATCATGTTTTATTGGGTTAGCGGAAATGATCGCTTCGAGCGACGGATTTTCAGAAGCATACAATTCATTTGGATCTCTTCTGTCTGGTGTTCCCACTGGTTTGCTTGATAGGCTCAGATATACGAAGCTGGCCAACTGGACAGGAGCTGCGTCTGCAGCGTGGTGGCTGTGACTTAAAATCGCTATGGCTCCCTGTCTTGCCCAATACTTGTAGTTCGAAGGTCACGGTTGGCTCAGTGTCACACCGAGTCTTTCGGCCGGTCTGACTTTCTCAACATAGACATGACGGCCATGAGACCGTAGACCTGCAGTGTTTGTAAGTTAAAAATTCGGAGTGCGTGTTGGAATTTGTGAAATAACAAAAAATAGAATCCGAGCACTCGTTCTTCTGTTGCACGGCCAAGTTCATAGTATGTATTATTTTGTGAGACAAAGATATTTTTCGACCAGGGCAATCAGGACATTGTGTTCCTGGGACCGCCCGTCTTCTACTGTAAATGAATCCGAGACCTGACCTTTTCGTTCCATTCTGGAATCAGTGACAGACCATAGCGTTTTCATAATGAATAACACTTTAAAACTATTTGTGAGCGTGACCATCGACGTTCAAAAGAAAGGTCGAATCGGATTTTCAGGGTCTTTTACACAATTAAAAGCAAACTCTTTACTGGATTTTTACCAAATAACCTGTTTTTGCCTTGATATTGATATTATTATCATTATTAGATGGGTGGTTTGACTGCTTATTAAGTGAAACGGAGTAAAACGGTTTCTACTTTCAATTATTTTCACTTGTACTTTTCAGGTTGGAAACGAAATCGTGAGACAGCTGATCGAAATGAACGGGTTCTATAATCTTCACAAACCAGGAGACTTCACCTCAATTGTGGACATGCAATTTTTAGCAGCAATGATCCATCCAGGAGCTGGCAGGAACGATATTCCGGAGAGACTAAAAAGGCAGTTTGCCATATTTAACTGCACCTTACCAAGTAATAATTCTATCGACAAGATATTTGGTCTCATTGCATTTGGACATTTTGGAAGCGCAAGAGGATTTTCGGATGAAATCCAACAACTGATCTCACGACTTGTTCCGACAACACGAATTCTGTGGCATACAGTAAAGGGTAAAATGCTACCAACTCCCGCCAAATTTCACTATATTTTCAACTTGCGTGATCTCAGTCGTATATGGCAAGGCATGATCAGCACCACAGCCGACATTATTAATACGCCTAATAAGCTGATCGACTTGTGGCGTCACGAATGCCATCGGGTACTCGCGGACAGGTACGTTTAATCTGTGACATTCAAGCACAATATCGCTTAAAATGAGATAGGACTTGCGTATGATAATGACATAATATATGAAATAGCGTCCACCGAAACCCACTTGAAGGGCACAGCACAAATTAAGCTAATAGCCACCAACGGATGTAGAACAAACCGCGTGCTGATAGTTGGATATTTGAATAGTTGTCAGCGAAGAATTTATTTGAATAACGGTGGAATGCATTAGGTTAGTGGCTAAATAGGAACAGTTCTGCAATCAAATAGATAGATGAAACAAAGACGAAAGCGAGTCTTTGACACAGTACATTGTTCTACCTTATTGCAAACAGATTTACAAAATCACAGGATCACGTCTGGTTCGATAGCACAATAAAGAGAATTGTGGACGAAGAACTGGGCACCGATTATTCGTCCATGCTTACCAATGACCAACCTTATTTCGTCAACTTCCTTCGGTAAGTGATCATTTCAAAGTTTATGTTGTGTTCTCTGATGCACTTCATTAGCAAGTCAGTTCTAGGAATTCGTGTTCTGGACTCGGTCTTTTTTCTGAAAGCCGCTTTTATTCCAGGCTGGATAAAAATATCAAAATGACTGTTATTGATAGGCAAATGCACTTGAATTTCATGCGCTCAATCGCTTAACTTCAATCAAAAAGACAACGGGACACCACACATTCTTCCACGCCTATTCTACATTAGGAGATAACTTGTCAAAGTTGTATTAAAAATACGTCGATGGCTACTTTAATTGCTGAACGACAATTCGTGATGCAATTTAACGATCTGGATTACGAGGTTATGAGTTAAAGGCGCTTAATTTCGGGCATTACCTAATGCTCTGCTGTTGTACGAACCGGATGGTGGCAACAGGCAAATAGTTGGTGAGAAATCATCATCTCTTACCGTCTTTCTCCCAAAGGAATGGTACTTGTATCAGACACAGCAAATGCAATTGCGGCATTGATGTGGAACCAGAGGGTACTTCCATGGGGTACAATAGTGTTAGCACCTGATTGCAATTTGTTCCATATATACTTATTACCTAAGACTTGAATCTCTTAAAACTAAGGCCATAAATGTTGTTTTTACCGAAAATCTGCAACGTTAACGAAAATAATTTAATTTGATTCAAACTTGGAAATTCGGGACTTAACTGAAATCGATAGATGCCTGTCTGGGTAAGCGGCTCAATAGCCTGTACAGAAATGCTAAACCTTTAGCAAGTAATGTGTGATACTGGGCAAATTTACGTAAATAACTGCAGCTATTAAGCTTACTGATACCCATTCGAGCCATGGCCATTTGCACATAAGTCTTCAAGTAATCGCTGGTTGAATCCAAATTACCAATAGGCCCACATTCCAAGAGTAGTGAGAAATTTTTCATACATTAATTTCCTAATCTACACCCACAACAACACCAGGATAGAAGCTTATGGAGAACTCAAAAGTACTCTCGTGAATGGAACCCAGGTCGTCAAAATGATAGTCTATGCTGGTTTCCATCTGACCACTTCAGGAGAAATTCACCTAAGTACTAACTCTAAGTTGACAGAACCACCTCTTTAAAGTTGATCCTAGATACACCCTTAGGAGGTCTTACCATAGATGATTAAGGTTATACTCAAAATGAACTTCTAATATGGCTCAAGTTGTTGTAAGAACGAACCCCCTGAAATTTCGTAGAGACAAAAAGCTGATTAAAACTTGTTGCATACATTCGAGTTGTGTTTACGAGGAATTGTAGTTTTTTTCATCCTACAAGAAGTATGTAAATCTGACTTAAAACTACTATCGCACAGGGGCTGACGAAGAATTTACTGATTATGTTTGTCTTGGTCCAACATTCGAATGATTGTTGAGATTATCTGGTACCATGGTTTATCCCATAACCCAATTTCTCCCACATCCCTCACCCAGCGATCCACCAGAGCCAACTGGTGACGAACCCGAGGATTACGTTGTCCAAATTCCAAGAATCTATGAACCGGTACGTTATCTTTTTCCATATCTGTTGTTTTCGTCTGTCACTTACGTCATTAAATCAAACTGATTTATTAGCAATCGTCCTCTCTGCTGTAATTCACTTTGTGATCTATAATAAGGTAAAATGCAGTAGCGCAACTTATTTACTGTCAGACTGGGGTCACATTTGAGCAAATGCATTTGAGTTGCGCGATTTGATTACAGTCGGTTTGCCTAGCTCAGCGAACAGACCAACGACCATCTATTCCATCTAAGCTACCAACGTTTTCCTTTATATTATATCTTTGTTTCAAATAGTCTGTGTTTGCATTTGTTCACTAATCTTCCATTTCATCCCTGAAGGACTACTTGGGCATTACTTTTCTCGGTGAGAATCTATTTTTTATGCTATGGTGAAATCTGGTCACAAAGGTTGGCTATCCATAATCATTTCTAAGGAGTGTGCTTTGAGGTCGTTGTATTCTTTTTTTAGATTACTTCATTCCAACAGCTGAACACTCGACTACTTACGTTTTTGAGGCGTTACAATGAAAGTATACGTGGTGCTCCAATGGATCTCGTCCTGTTCGAAGATGCCGTGACTCAAATTGTTCGCATCTCTCGTATATTGTACATGCCGAAGGGACATACCTTGCTTGTTGGTGTTGGTGGGTCCGGCAAACAGTCACTGACACGTCTTGCCTCGTTCATCGCTGGCTATCAAACCCATCAGATTACCCTCACCAGGTTGGTTTCTGTCATTTATTGTAGATGTCCAATATTCAACTTCTGTGCATGCGCAGTCTGCAGCTCGGCTTGACGCACCAGCCTAAATAATCTTTTTTGAATAGGGCTACATTTTATCGGTCTACAGGCAATGCCTTCTTCTAGATGGTGGTAAACTCATGAGATTATTCTTTTTGCCAACTTTGTAAGGTCACGTACCAGAAAGTTGAAAAACAGCTGTCTCACTTGCAACCCCACACAACAATTCTTTCGCCCTCACTTCAAACTGAGTAGATCTATTCTGATCACTAGACAAATCCAAGCCTCTTTCAATCATCTCCTGTCTTCAGGGGTAACCATCTCGTCCACTTGAGCGGGCGAATGATTCCGTGGACTGGCGTTCAAAACAATCTTGTGGTGACTGACGGTAGAAACTAAAAACAACGTTACTAAACTGGTCACAGTTTTATATTTTAACAGCAGAGAAATAGTAACATAATATAACCATATAAGAATAACAACCAAAAATTAAGAGAAACTGGTCACGTTTTATATTTTAACAGCAGTGAAATAGTAACATAATATAACCATCTATGAATAACAACCAAAAATTAAGAGATATCAGAAGTCTAGACTGGCTGACGGGAAGGGGTGCTCGTTTAAACATGCTCACGGAGTTTCTCTGGAATTAACTGTATTTTACACACCCTAAATACCGTGTATATAAGCGGACGATTCATTTTGCTTTGTCTCCTGGACTTAGAAAGTGATGTAGGAAAAGCTGCACTGTCACTCTAGTGACAGTAAGTTGTAAATGGAACGATCTCCGGTCCCGATCACTCTGATGTGATTAAAGTGTTTTTTAACAGAAGGATGTACACATGTTCAAAAACAAAAGAACTCAAGAAAACAATGATCCATGAGAAAAAGCAGGATAAGTTTGTCCATGGATTGACGTTTCCAGTATTCTGTGTCAGGCAAATTGGTATTCCTCGAATATTGTGTTTACGACAAAGTGAACATTTTGCGTTTGATGTCACTTCAATCTTCGAAGCAAGCTGTTTCTTTCGAGGTGTGTCAATACTATTGTCTGCCCCGTGCGATGAATACAATGAAACATAGCCTGTTATGCTGATCCGTGTATCTCAACTACTCATTCATCCATATTGGAACATATTGATCAAACATCGATTCAGTGAGTGTAACGGTGACCGACTGTCTTTTAGTTCCCCGGGTTGGGGGTTGGTAAATATGCAGCAACCTGTCCCTCCTAGACAAATCTAGAATCACTAAGCTAATGGGTCAAGCTTTGAACCAAAATTTTAGTTTAGGAACCCTTCTGATTGTTTAACTTTTCGTGCCCACGTCCAGCCATGGAATATGGAGGCAAAAGTAGCATGACAACTATGCGCCAGTGTTTGCCACCGTCGATGATAGGGGTGGTGGTGACGATGGTGGTGATCACCGTTCGGGGGCATGTTGACCGTGCGAACATCCAAGTGGCAACAGCACACCGTTCCGCACTGTGACTAGAAATGGGTCATGATGTGCAGTGAGTGCACTGAAGTGTACCACTGGCCTGGTTTCAATCACACAACACAACAACATCGACAGGGAACCGGAAGTCAGAAAGTTGGGGGCCTTAAGTGGGACAATTGAAACCATGAAAGTCGTATAAGAAGGATAAATTGGATCAACAAACCCAAGAGACTGAGGACCCAAGGCCTATTTTTCATTGCTTTATATGAGATGTTTTGGCTTAAGCCCACCGTTTTCCGTGCAGTCGGTTCGATGAATTGTCAACAATTCACTCATCTGCCTTCTTCAACTATAGGTCATACAACGTGAACAACTTAACTGAAGACCTGAAAATTCTCTATCGCACCGCTGGTCAAAAAGGCAAAGGAATCACCTTCTTGTTTACAGATCAGGAAATCAAAGATGAGGCGTTTCTCGAGTACTTGAACAATATGCTATCATCTGGGGTCATATCAAACCTCTTCGCAAGAGATGAGATGGATGAAATCTGCCAAGAACTCATACCTGTCATGAAAAGAGAATTCCCCCGACGGGCACCGACAAACGAGAACCTGCAGGCATACTTTTACGCCCGAACGCGACATAATCTTCATATTTCACTGTGTTTCTCTCCTGTTGGAGAGAAGTTCCGGACTCGAGCGCTGAAATTCCCTGGTCTTTTTTCTGGTTGCACCATCATCTGGTTCCATCGCTGGCCTCGAGAGGCCTTGGTCGCGGTGGCTGACCACTACTTGTCCAATTTTCCACTTCGTTGCACCGATAACGTCAAAGCAGAAATAATCAGTTCGATGGGAGGCATCCACGACGGTGTCGCTGAGTCCTGCAACGAATACTTCTTGAGGTTAGTGAAGCTGTCGGAATGAATTTCATTACCTGATTGATATGACTGATACAAGTGTACAAAACATCACATGAGCTTTACTTTTACAACCCTGCAATCATTTTCGGCCAAACGGTGATATACAGTACACAGGCAATGTGTATCTGAGGTTGTATTTAATTATGCATGAACTAACTAGTAGTGCCATTGCTGACTTTAGTGCCAGCCAGTTATCCACAACGTGAAATCTGAACACCGGTATGCACGTAGACTGTTTTAATATTCACTCAGAAATTTGAGCCACCGAGTACATCATTTCACTAGAGGTCTGATTATACAATACGGCGTCGAGCCTTGTTGAATATTTAAGCTAATGAAAAATATGCCTTACCTGATAGCTCCACGCCGCGATGCGGTGCTCTTTCTTGATGTGTCACCTATCTGTTCGATGAGTTTAGAAAAGCACAATTATCCTTTATTTGCTGAGTAAAATTACGGTTTAAATGTGGATACTTAGATATCCTGAGCATCTCAGCACCTTAACTTGGTCCATAAACACTGATTAATAAGATATTATTATTCTAAGATTCCAAACCTATGGGTTGTTTTCCCTGATCACTCACTCTGGTAAGCCCTCCTAGAAATCCAGTAAGCGCCAGCTCCAGAAATTCGGCGGGTGCAGTTGACATATATCGCCTCCATTCAGCGGTGAAGCTAGTCAGGGATTCTGAGTCCTTGCAGTTGTACGAATGAACAGACAATGCGGTTTTGATGCTCGATAGTAAAGTTGACCACAATTTGGTTTATAACTGATTGGCGGCATAATACACTACTCATAAAGTTGCTGAAAATTCTTCGACAGCCCATAGCTTTATTTCGCTCTTCTTGGGGCTAATCAAGTAGGCGCAGTCCTCGAGTTTCCGTCAACCTTATGTTCTATTTGAACCCAAATCACACGAAATTAGCAAAATACACTCATTTGCAAACAAATTCGGTTTTGCGGGAGACTCACTCAGAACTAGCTGGATCTCCCGCAAAACCAAATTTGTTTGCAAATTAGTGTATTTCGCTGATTTGGTGGTGAATTTAGACTGCGCGACAAGGAAGCGAAGTCATCTGGAATGAAGTGATCGATAGGACGTTGCCAATTTTGAATGGCCCTGGTACCAAAATTCAAGGGCACACGTCCAACTTGGTAGGGTCCCAACGGAATTCCGATGAAACGGTCCAGTGAATTGTACGCTCAGGCATCTAACTAAATCCGCATATAAGCGTGCTGACCCCTCGTCTATTGTACGTTTGACCAAACATCCTGTGCATAACTTTTTCACGAAGACTGTAATAAGGAATGTTCCTAAAAGTTGATCTAGTGGTAGAAGTAAGGTTATTAGATTTCTTTGATCACTTCTCCTCTGAACATGCGGTTTCAAAGGTTAGAGCGCTCAGACATGTTAGAGACTGAGTGAATTGTTAGGACACAGACACAGGCCAGGGCTGATGGTTGAAAAAATTTTACATTCACGTTATACGCTCATCTGCATATCAGTTTGGCTGTTGACGGGAGACTCACCTAAAACCCAGCTGAATCTCTCGTGTATGATGTTCTTACGTATTACGTCTATGTACAGCTTTTCATTGTTGAATAGGGGTTGTTTTCAGAAGGCAGTTAAAATGTGGACGGAGATCAGGGACGGCTGTCTACTTATGTGTGTGGCGAATTGTGTTCGGTTGAGAGATGCAAAGGATTGTTCGGAATTCTCGTTCCCGACCGAAAAACAATCAATAGTGTAATGCGCTATCTTTTCAGCGTGAGCTGCAAACGCTTTTAATTTCTCCGACTACTTTCTACTTTGAAAGCATATCTGCAGAACTGTTTTGCTCATACATTGAAGACTGATGGAATGAGAAGTATCAGAAGGACGAACGACGGTTCATTGAGTTGAGATAACGACTGATGACCTGCTGTGCGATTCATTTAGTTCGGTTAGATGACTTACAGCGCCCTGTACACTCGAGAAAGTTCCAGTGAAACAATGCACCTAAGAGAGTAAGGTACTTTCAACTTTTGTAAAATCGGAGTGACCTTGTTCATGTGTGAACAAGTTCGCCTGTACAGGCGATATAATTCTGAGTGCGCTGGTCGAATAGTAGTAACATGCTGGCCTCGCAAGTCTGATGTCAAACCCCGGCATGGTAAAGGATATACACAGTTGCTGCGCTTAAATAAGGACGGAGCTCAAGTCCAGTGCTTCCTCCGTTTGGTTTGGACTCACCGGAATAACTACGCCATGACAGAAGGAGGACTGTGCAAGCGAGAGTGATATGCTTTCTGATAAAACGGAATTTGTTCATTTAGGCATTACCGAAGTAAGAAACATCCTGATTCATTTACATTTATGAGAAATCATTCGTCGAAAGCAGTGCATATGCGTTAGCCTACACTTCCCGAATGTTCGAAACAAACTGCTTAAGCTGACGACGTAATTGTTCACCTTCATGGCTTTTGTGAGCTTGTTCCGTGGAACCAGATCAGCCAAGTGAATTTGACATTTTTCCCTGTTTCTAAGGTTTTGCAGTAAATGAGTTCAAAATTGCCACTCTGTGGACTGTCTGTCAACAACATTAATATTTAATGCTGGAGGGAGGAGCATTCTATAAAGATTTCCTCATGTCAGTGAGGCCAGTTTACACTGAAGAAATCTAGAAGCATTGTTCAACACTTTCGTCTTTGTTGGGAATTATCAGCCGTGTGCACGTCACGAAATTCGAATTTTCGAACCCATGATATTTCAGCCAGTGTTTGAACCCTTAACTGTTTGGTCACTGGCGACTGATCAGCAGCTCTCAGTTGAGTCTGTGTCAGCGAGCTTGGGCGTTTTTCACTCTGTAGCTGATGAACTGAGACAAAGTAAATGCATGGATGTTTGGTTGAGAGCTGTCTTCTAAGGCTAGGTGTGAGTGATAGACTGGTTTCCAGCCTTACATCCGGCCACCATGTTTATCCATCTTGTGGTCAGATGGAATGAACACTGATCCCATCATTCCTAGCTGCAAAAGTCAGTTGCCGAGGCTTCGCTAGGCAGAGAACCATAACATGACATGAGGCTCGACTGAAAAGTTTGTGTCAGAATAGTCAGTTTGCATGCAGGTTTATTGCACATTCGTGTTCGAAATCCTTACTTTCTGTGGGAAGTTTGGCATGACGCTTGTGTCAACTTATATATGCGAACAACGGTTAACCTGGGGGTTAACTGCTCTTTTAAGTAGGCATTGGACAAAGGAAATTAGTAACATTTAAGACCTTTCCCACTGAATGTTGATGGAAGAATGCATTGTCAGAGGCAGAGTTTCCTGATCCATCTTCTCCAATAGATTGTCTTCAGTATTCAGAAAAAAAATTTCGAAAAGTTCAAACACGTTTTCCTCTAGAACGTGTGTGCAAAGATCTGTGTAGCAGATCGTAATTAAGCTTTGGGAATACAATTTAGCAGTTAATTGACTTTTTATTTGTCATTTCGTGAAACTCATCTATTGAAATTGCGGCATGTGACGATATCCATCTTTGTATCTGAAATCACAAAATACTGAGTTCTAAGGAAATCATGTTTCTAATACAAATAGAGGAAAATGTGACTAGTGTTCTAGCAAACGTGATTCCCCTAGGTTGCAGCTTGTAAACCAATAATATATTACAGCGAAGTATCTGAATTTCACCTACCTCGTGTAATCGTTCTAATTTTGTGTACCTACAGGTTCCGTCGACCAACTCACGTAACCCCCAAGTCTTACCTATCCTTCTTAGCGGGTTACAAAGATGTATACAAGCAGCAGTTCAATTACTTTGAACAGCAAGTTGAACGCATGAACGGTGGGTTGAAGAAACTTGTTGAGGCACAAGAAAGTGTGGCCCAGCTAAAAAATGAATTGATTGTCAGAGAAAAAGAATTGGAGGTGGCAAACAAAGAAGCTGAGGAAGTCTTGCAAACGGTGAGTATTTGTCTGGGAGGCTTTTTGACAGCCGATTTTATTACCATTGATTTAAGATTAGACTTCTTCAGGTGAAGCATTTTGTTTCCGTTCGGATCAGTATAAACACTTTGCTGTATGCAGTGAATGGTATTAAAAAGAGGAGATCATGTAAATACATAACGAACCACGATATTATTCATGTGTATCGGTAAAAAGGAATAGAGACGTCCTCAAGACTGATCAGGTCCCTAATAACCGGCAAGTATGGGTTTACACAAGCGGGTTATTTCCTGAACTTCAATTACGGTAAATCTGATAGTGTTTGAACTGCGCCAGTTTTGTTGACGACATTACATATTGATGAACGATCGAGTTAAATAGCGCGCCGTCTATTTTCCGACCATTTCTAGGTCACCATTGAGCAACAGGCATCCACAGAAATACGAAATAAGGTGCAGGTCGTGAAAGACAGGGCCCAAGCAATTGTGGATGAAATAGACAGGGAGCGGACAATTGCTGAGGCTAAACTTGAAGCTGCTAAACCGGCCTTATTGGAGGCAGCCGAAGCTCTGAACACAATAAAACCTGCGGATATTGCCACAGTCCGACGGCTTGGAAAACCGCCGAATCTGATCATGCGCATTATGGACTGCGTTTTGTTACTGTTCCAGCGTCACTTGGAGCCCTACAAACCAGATATGGAACGGATGTGCCCACGCCCAAGCTGGTCTGAATCACTAAAATTTATGACCAATACGGGTTTTCTTCAGTTGCTGATGACATTTCCGAAAGATACAATAAACGAGGAGACCGTAGAATTGCTTGAGCCTTATTTGACTCTTGAGGACTACACTTTGGATGTAGCTACGAAAGTTTGTGGAAATGTAGCTGGACTTTTATCATGGACGCGAGCAATGTCTTACTTCTACTCAATCAATAGAGATGTTCTTCCGATGAAGGATAACTTGGTCAAACTTGAAGCTCGGCTGACGAGAGCGATGCGTGATCTTCAGGTGAGTTTGCATTTGATTCAATCCTTTTCGAGAAGTTATATCCGTTTCCATAAAAAAATCACCTGTCAAACATCTCTTGAAGCCACAGTGAGATCCTCCAAAATGGCATACTGCCCAATGGATTTCACCACAGGTCTCGTAGAGGGCGCAACTCAGCCATTCTGAGATAGATTCCTCGATACACTAATCTTGATTTATTGTTAAACTATTCAAAATTCGGTTTAATAAATTGAAAATTCAAGAGCATGAGCATATATAGGTGTGTTGTGTTCTACAGTGTAAAAATATTAATCGAACGGGATTGTTGCACTAGTGATTCGAAATCGTCCTTCATACTTCGGGATTAGAAGGAGGAACTATGGGTGCTGTAACAAAAAATTACTTCTCGTGTGTTTATAGTTTCTAGGTTTCGTGTGAGTTTGTGTGGGTATCCTATTTAGATTCTGTAGCTTACAGGTAAGTAACTCTTCGAGAAACTCAGATGGCCTGTTTCTGAGACAACATCAGATCCCAATATTCATCGTTACAGTTTATTTATCCGAGAAAAGGTCGCCTCAAAAAGGAAAAAATGCTTTTCCATATTGTAGTTGGTATAAAATCATTCTGAGGTGACTCTTTTGTCCTTATCCGTCCTTCCACTCTTGAGACCTTGACGCAAAATACGTCCAGCCGAGTGGGCGGTGAACAGTCCGATATCAGCCGATTATAGACAGATTGGACCGGTCTTTGGGTGGATGAAATCATGTCCTTGAAAAATTACTTTGGCATTAAGCGGGATGAGAGAACTGGTGTCTGAGTCCCACATATGTTTGTTTTTGCTTGAACATACAATCATACTACCGTTTTATCTTTGTCCGTGTTGCTCTGAAGATGTCATACAAATATAAATTAACTGAAGATAAGCAAGGTTTCAAAGGCGTTAAACACAAGTAAGAACGGACTTTCTTCTTGAAAACACGGAAATCGCAAAACGTTAGGCCTCTTATGCTTATTCAAACAAATAGGCTTTCTAGACCTCGTTGCTTCTGGTACTTTTTAAAGTGGAAGTTTATTCATATACATTTAACTAATATGTTTGGTATTCGTTCTGGATCTGATATCCTTCTGGTGATCATCAATTCAGCTTGTCTTCAGCTCAATCATTCAATATAGGTACACTTCCTCTAGCTAGTCAGTCATACTATGTGCTTGTCAGCTTATTACTGCAGTCTTGAATAAAATGTGGCACTCCTCAATTAGTTCCGTCTTTAACCAGCTCTCCGAAGAAAAGTAGCCTAATTAACACAAATATAGCATTTCTCCGTCGGGACCTCTTGCGTGGCTTATTATATCACGGGCAGATGGATTGACCCAATAGTTTGTTTTGAATCTTCTGCGACAGTGACTCGTTCTTATCCCAGTGCAATCTCCTTTTCAGACAGCACAAGAAACCCTTGACGAGAAAGAGCGCGAGTTGGCGAAAGTTCAAGCTGTATACGAGGAGGCTCTTCGCAAGAAACGAACGTTAACTGACAACGCCGAACAATGCCGCCGAAAAATGACAGCGGCGTCAACGCTAATCGGTAGTCTAGGAGAAGAGCAGGTACGTTGGACCGAACAAAGCAAGTCATTTGAACAACAAATTACAAGGTACGTTTCTACAATAATGTAATGGCAATTAATCTAGAATGGCAAGACGAAAGGTTACAGTAATCTGATTTACTGTCAATTAGTTTGTCATTTAGTTAGCTTTGGTAAGTACATTATTTTTTCTGGTGCAGTCTTCATCATCTGAAAAACTAAAACACCCTCACCTGCAAAGAACTAAAACCTAGAGAGCCCTTTACCTATTACTGTAAAGGATAATAATTCTCCTTATTCACAACGCCACCCTCCTTGAATTTTCCAGCCTAGTCGGTGATGTTCTAGTTGCGACGGCCTTCCTTTCATACTGTGGACCGTTCAATCAAGAATTTCGCCAGACGTTCATCTTATCGTGGCTGAGAGAGGTCAGAATCCGTCGTATTCCCGGTTCGCCATCCGTCAACTTGATATCCATGTTAACGGATCAAACACAGGTAGGCCGTTCAACCCCAAATTAGAGTTCACAATCATCTCCCGAACAAAGCAGACACGTTTCACAGGGAAAACCAGCTACATGATGTTGCGTAACCCATTTGTTTGACATATGGCTTTATAGTGATGAACTTGGCCAAGCCAGTGTTGAATTCGTTAAACTACTCACTGCTTGTCAAAAGGTTGATGAATTTTCGGGAATCTCGGTGATTACAACTTGGGCTCCTGAAAGAGCGTGTGAATCCTAATTCCAACATTTACAACCCGCCGGCTTCCTAACCAATGGAACAGTTACGCCAACTGGTCCAATCGCTTTCAACTTCCGTACAATTGTTCAGTAGCCGTTCGGTGCCTCGGACAACAGTGATCGACATCTGACCTATTGTGTTACACTTCCCTGCAAGGACCGATAAATCTGAACTGCAATGTCTGATGGGTTTGTGTGATAAAGCGTCGCGATTTCTGTCTTTGATCTCATCAAACTTCGTTAAATATTATAGCATTGTTAATGGAGGTCGAATCTGTGGATAGGTCCTTTTGATTCCGGTACTTATCCTTCACCTATGTACGCCAGTGGACCTGTATACTAATCAATGGTCTCGGCTATTTGAGAAAGCGTGAACGGTCGCTGTCTGTACTACCCTACTGGAATAAAGTTTGAGCTACTGATCAATTACGGGGATACACTCTAGTACAGCGACAAAAAGCAGTGACGATTGTTTGATACAAGGCAACTAGTGGGTTGTCATGCGCTGATCTATCATAAGTTTCCGATCTAATTATCTTCGCTCAGTACTGTAAGTCACATCATCTGACCTGCCCAGTTGAGTTTTGGTTTAAAGGGCTGGTTTAGATGAAGAAATAGAGTCTTTGGTGCGTATAACATAAACCGCTCAATGTAACATCTTACTAAATCAGTGAAATAGGATATTTGAACCATAGCTCTGCGTGGAAATCAGTTCGGCATTGAGTCAGAGGTGTCCCCAAGGTGTCCTATGGTAAAAACTGTTCCGATACACGAAATAAGTCTTCTAGAGGAGTGTGTCTTCTTTGGGAGTCTCTTCATGTAGAAGGAGGGATTTAATACGGTAAATTGTCCTAATGACGAACACGATATCTTTTACTTCATCATATACAGCTGAGCACCATAGACCTCTCAAGTTCAACCACACAAGTAAAGTTGTAATTCGCCTCAAAAGGAGAAGGCATCCACATTGAAATTCACTTCATTGAGGAACATGGCTTTCTAAAACCTTTTCATACAGCTGTAGAATTTTTCAATTTCTAAAACTTTTCATACAGCTGTAGAATTTTTCAAAAAAAAAGTGCATGTTTCTGTCCGAGGTTAAAGTTTGTATCTTATTCACAAGGGGTGCACGCAAAAAATCCAATTAGTTCACCCCCAGACATCACACCTTCGGGTGGCCTGTAGCATTAGGTTTGAACGAGATTCACCACTGTAAATCTATGTCGGAATACGTCGAAAGAACCATGCAGTTGGCAGAGTGTACAATCGGAAAGTCAGCGCGACTCCGCTTATTTGGTAGTTTTCAAAGCTAACTAGTTTTATCAGAATATTTCATCGCCAGTGATGATGATATGAATAGTGTATCATTGAATGGAGCAATGGGGAGTATAGGTCAGCTACCAACGTTTGATTCTGCGCCGCATTACCTTACAATTAAAGAAAGTTTTCGACATCCTTCTATGTAGACGATTGAAGGACAATGCACCGATTTGATTCACAGCAGTTCCAGTTTCATGCACGGTGCAGTCTCTTATCATTCTTATCTAAGATGCCTGCATCAAATGAAACGATGGTCAACACCTAGCCGCTGACCCACGTGGACTAACTTGTTTGGATTTATTTCCACCTATCTGATTTGTTTGCAAGCCTTCACTTTGCACTTGAACACATCACTGACAAGAATCTCAAGCAGATGATTGAGCATATTAACCACTGACTCACCTTATGGCAATCAGGAGTAACTCTTTTACGATAGTCTAACACATGATTAGAATAGATACCTTCCATGAGGTACCAGATCTCATTCTAGAGTGGTAGTCCCCTAACCCCAATCATCTGTTTCAGAGTATAGATCAGGACCATCCATTACTCGTTGATTCCAGTATAAACTCGGTGGTCGGTATTAGTCAGCATTTTGTTGCCGAATGAGCGAAATGATGTCTTGGAAACAACGGAATTTATTCACTCCGGCTGCCTCAGAAGCATAAGCTTAAGACCTTCGTACTAGTATGAAAAATTGAAATTTCGCTCAGTGGAAGTTCTTCCTATTCGAACATCATTGGCTAGATGACACGAGAAGTGACCCTCAGGTCTCCAATCATCGATTTGTTATTCATCAAATAGTCTGCCTTTCCCCACTCTGATTATAGGTCGCCGAGTTGAGGAAGTGCACAAACCGTCACGTAACTTGTGTCCCCACTGAGATGAAGAAACTTACTGGAATGAAAACTTGAAGCTAAAATATGACTTACTGTCACAGAAATGCACCTTAATAAATGCGATTCTTCAATTCAAATTTTTAAATATTTCGGTCCTAACACGAGATCGTTGTCTGGTTAAATAACGTGACAAATGTCATATGAAATAATTCAAAATAAGACAAACTTTTCAAGTATTTAAACGATATATTCTTCTGGTTTTGGATAAATGATGAATTGCCGCGCATATTTCGACTTCGTTCTTTGCAGCTCGGTGAGTGGAATTTACAAGGGCTACCTACAGATGAACTTTCAATACAAAATGGGATCATTGTGGACAAAGCCAGTCGATATCCATTACTAATTGACCCGCAAGGTCAAGGAAAACAATGGATAAAGAATCGCGAAAGAACTAATGGTATGGTTATTACCACGCTTTGGAATAAGTATTTCCGTCAGCACCTCGAAGACACATTATCCACTGGCCGTCCGCTGCTCATCGAAGATGTTGGAGAAGAACTGGATCCAGTCTTGGATAATGTGTTGGAGAAGAACTTTATTAAACAAGGATCTATACATAAGGTATGAATAGTGACGCTATGCGGGGTTGTTTACACTAGTCCCGAGTTTTACGAATTTTTTCCACCCGGTTCATTGCACAAACATAGCTGGTTAAGTGTTTGAGCTACTCAGGATTCTATAGACGAAAAACAGGACAAGGTGAAACTGAAGTTAAACACAGGTAGTTTGTCTCCTTGAGAATGTAATTTAAGGGAATATTCTGCTCTAGATATCGTCTAATCGAATGTTCTATTCAAGTATCTCCATCTTTGGAAGCTGTTTTTCCCCTCATTAAATTACAGTTCATTACTAGTCTCTTAAGTTCTTTCGCAGTTTAGTGACTGGACGCTCGAGGAGAAGCAACTAGCGTTAGGAAAGTTAACGTATTGATGTTTATCAAGGCTAGCTTTGTGTGCCAAAAAGATACCTCAAATCATACTTCAAAGTTACTGAACTTCAAGCTATCAGCGCATACGCAGACAGAGTGATACTCTGTTAAAACGCTTGGTGTGAATCATATTATATACTAACGAAAGATTCTTTTTTACTTGTATTCCTCTAAATGCTACCCAGAATGATCGTGGTGATGCCTATTTTGAATGGTATTTTGTTATTACAGGAAGTCTAGCAAATATCAAAATTTTTCCCTCACATTCAGGTCAAGGTGGGTGACAAAGAAGTTGATGTGTTGAAAGGATTCAAGCTCTATATTACAACGAAGCTTGCCAATCCTACATATACTCCGGAGATTTCAGCCAGGACATCGATTATCGACTTTGCAGTCACTATGAAGGGACTTGAAGATCAGTTGCTTGGGCGGGTGATTCAGAGCGAAAGACAAGAACTTGAATCTCAGCGAATTCAACTGATGGAGAATGTTCAGGCTAACAAAACCAAAATCAAAGAGCTCGAAAATAACCTGCTGATGCGTTTAGCCAGCGTGCAAGGCTCACTTGTCGATGACGTGGATCTGATTGATGTCTTGAATTCGACCAAATCAACTGCGGCTGACGTGAGCCAAAAACTGTTGATCGCATCAGAGACCGAAATGCAAATCAACGCGGCACGAGAAGAGTATAGACCAATCGCTACTCGCGGTTCTGTTCTCTATTTCTTGATTGTTGAAATGAGTTTGGTCAACTGCATGTACCAAATATCGCTGCGCCAATTCTCAAACTTGTTTGACCTTTCATTGGAAGAGTGAGTGGTGTGTCTGCCGCACAACCTATCGAGTTCAATAGAAAATCCGTTTATTAGCATCTTATCTTTAAGAAACCAAAGTCGCATATCTTTACAACCAATAATTGACAAGTCATTGTTGAATTGCAGAAATACACGTGCAACAATGTTTTACCTGTCAGTCACCCTCATTTGTAATCTTGGATCTAGTATATCATAACAACCAGAAGGACCAGTATCTTAAATGACACATGTTAGCTTCCGGACATGGCTAACGGTCTTAATCCTGTCAGATTCAAGATCCATATGTAATATTTCCCGTAAGATGCAACCATCAATTACGGCACATCGCCAAGCATCATGACATACAGGGTGCACAGTGGCCCTCCAAAACAATTAACCCAGTGGTTAACTCTAAATTAAGCTGCGCATACCGATGACTTTTACCCAGCGTTAAGACAAGTATATCAGTTAGTGTTAAACATCTGGATATTCCTAAATCCTCACATACTTAATGCGGACAGGTAACCTTTTAAATGACAAAATTTGGATGTTCCTGCGGCCTGTTACGGCCACCAGCAAAATGCTCTGATGGACTGAAACACGAAATCACTCCTCTCATCATCCGTCATGGGTGTGGTTATTCGTGGTGTGGTGCTGGCTGAGTCGTGAAAACCGATAACTCTATAGACAAACAACGGATCACGCACCATCCACTTGAGTGACACCAACAAGAACGAATTGGGACATAATGCTCAACAGCTGTCCTTGGGGGCTAGGCAATTCTGCTTCGGTAGTTATCCTGAGGAAATGGTTTGAAGCACACTTCAGCTCAATCTCATTTTTTTAACCTGTTTACTATTACTAGTGAAGTGATCGTGGTATGACAAGGTTCGAACGCGTATTATTGAAAGATCAGTGATACTTCATCTGATATAAGTGTGGAGAAATCGCACTGTTTTTCGGCCTCTCATAGATAGAACTTAGTGTTAAAGTTTTTTTCAGGGAGATTGCGATTTGAATTTATCAGGAGAGCTGTACGCGTATAGTGAATCTTGGGTTTTCAGGAAAGCCTAACTAACTTAGTGAGGCAAGAGTCAGACGTTAAAATCCAGACTCTCATTACTATTCACAGGCAAAAATTGTTTACTCATTCCTTGTCGGTTTTACTCATTCTGTAGATCGGAGAAATCTCCCGCGACTCAAAAACGGATTGCAATTGTGATTGATTACATGACGTACAGGGTGTGGAAATATGTAATTCGCGGACTGTATGAGGTGGACAAACCCGTGTTCTCCCTGCTATTGGCACTTAAGATCGATTTAAAAGCCGGAAAAATAAGACACGAAGAATTTCAATGCTTCATCAAAGGTACGGTGTTGAATTTAGTAATGCTACCTTACCATTGCTATGTGGAAATAAGTGTTTTAGGGAAAGGTTTCCATAACCAAGTGTGTAGGACGAACACTGAACAAGGGAAGATATATATATATATATTGTTAGAGTAATGCAGATCGACTCAAGTTCGCCCTTAAGCACTGATAGACTATTCCGGGCTCAGATGCTCAATATCTTCACTTTTCAGCGGAAAATTTGACATCCAGCTCATCCGATTTTTGAATAAATTTTTGACCTATACTAAATGAAGAAAACTAGGTGAATTGAATAATGTTACTGTTTTAGCACATGCACTTGCAGCCTTCCTTTAGCTTGGTTCCTCTGGTACAATCAGTTTCAGAACTAGCTCACGAAATAAGTTAAAACTGCTGTTTTACTATTGGTTTAACTTTTATCCCTCTCAATAGCGCTTGCTTCTCAGATGAGGCAAATTACTCGTCTCTCTTGTCTCTTATAGTGCGAGAGAGTATTCCATATTTACCAGAACTCTATGCTTTACCAATAAGGTGGGATATTCCATTGCTGCATGCGTTTTACCTATACTTATCGTACCATTCATGACATATTTTACGCTTCTACCGTGAAGGAGGTGCGTCCCTTGATCTGAACACAGTCAGACCAAAACCCTTCAAGTGGATCACGGATATGACATGGTTACACTTGGTCGCCTTGTCCAACCTCAACCAGTTTTCCAATTTGTTGGACCAGGTGACAAAAAATGATCGAGCATGGCGACACTGGTTAGATAAGAGCACGCCTGAGACAGAACACATTCCTGATGGATATCAGAACAGTGTGGATGCTTTTCGACGACTATTGTTGATTCGAGCTTGGTGTCCAGACCGTGTGATGGATCAGGCTAATAACTATGTGAACAGCACACTGGGGCCTAGATATTCCGAAGGATTCATTCTCGATATTGAAGGAGTGTTTATGGAATCTACACCGCGTTGGCCTATGGTTGGTCTGCTCAGTATGGGATCGGACCCCACTATGCAAATCGAGTTGCTGGCGAAGAAGTTCAGAGTGAGTAGCTTGTCTTTTGTAATCTTACTATCATACTGTCTATCATACTATCTGTCATACTATCTATCATACTATCTTACTATCATATACGATCATTTTTTAATTAATCTTAAGGCTTTTTTACTGCCCGAACAAATCTAGACATTTCGTCTAATCCCATCGTCCTTTGGTTTCTTGTTTGAGTGGTTTTTTTAAGTTTATGACTTCATTTGCGGTCAGTTCACATCACCTTCTTTTGTCGTAATTATTGCCTCAGAGCAGTTTGGCCAGTAATGCTGGAATTGTGGCCAGACATGTCTCTCCTGGATTCAGTTGTCATCGTTTTAGGTGTTCTGAGCACCACCCGAGATTAAACCGACTCAATATGGTTCGTAAATACAACTCAACGGAATTGTCTAACTAGGATAGTATAGTGTTCACCATCAGATACATGTAAAATCCGCCACCGCCACACTCTTATAAACATAAGCCATGCTTTTACACCAGAGTGCTCCAACTACAAAAGTTAAATGTTGAGGTACGCCAGATGGTCTTAAGAAGAAGGAACTCTCTCGCGATAGATGGAACACTCACGCTTCATAGGTTGCCCTAGTTGGGACATGTATTCCGCATGCCGGCAGACCAGCTAACTCACAGAACTCTTTTCTCCCAGCCCTGTGCTGAGTGGAAGCGACTGAGAAGTATACAGTGTACGACATGGCAACAAAGTACGAGAACACTAACCAGTAAGCTTAGTCGGGTGGGCAACTGCCGCCTCCCTGGATGGGGATCCCGGGACTCAAATCACCGGTGATTNCTTGCTGTCATACAATCTATCATACTATCTTACTATCATATACCATCATTTTTTAATTAATCTTAAGGCTTTTTTACTAAAAAGTAGTTTACTCGTCTCACACTGCCCGAACAAATCTAGACATTTCGTCTAATCCCATCGTCCTTTGGTTTCTTGTTTGAGTGGTTTTTTTAAGTTTATGACTTCATTTGCGGTCAGTTCACATCACCTTCTTTTGTCGTAATTATTGCCTCAGAGCAGTTTGGCCAGTAATGCTGGAATTGTGGCCAGACATGTCTCTCCTGGATTCAGTTGTCATCGTTTTAGGTGTTCTGAGCACCACCCGAGATTAAACCGACTCAATATGGTTCGTAAATACAACTCAACGGAATTGTCTAACTAGGATAGTATAGTGTTCACCATCAGATACATGTAAAATCCGCCACCGCCACACTCTTATAAACATAAGCCATGCTTTTACACCAGAGTGCTCCAACTACAAAAGTTAAATGTTGAGGTACGCCAGATGGTCTTAAGAAGAAGGAACTCTCTCGCGATAGATGGAACACTCACGCTTCATAGGTTGCCCTAGTTGGGACATGTATTCCGCATGCCGGCAGACCAGCTAACTCACAGAACTCTTTTCTCCCAGCCCTGTGCTGAGTGGAAGCGACTGAGAAGTATACAGTGTACGACATGGCAACAAAGTACGAGAACACTAACCAGTAAGCTTAGTCGGGTGGGCAACTGCCGCCTCCCTGGATGGGGATCCCGGGACTCAAATCACCGGTGATTAATGACATTGGTGGAAATGGCCCAGTCGCACAGTCGGTGGCACTCTTGCATCAGAGCTATCGCTTTCAATGCGTAGCTACCCGATTTCCGAACAAACTGAACATGCCTTTGCCTCCAGGGTTTGGTTGTACGTTCCACTTTCTTGTTTTCCATCGAAAATGCAGCAGCTGGAACCACTGTGCCTAGGGGACACGGTTTATAGCTGATAAATTGATCGAAGTGCATTTCAAATTTACATGAATCTCGTTGGGACAGTCCTCCTTCTGTCCTGACACGGTTATTGTGGCGAGTCCACACCGAATGGGGCAAGCACTGGACTCAATTTCGCTTTTATTAGAGCGCATCAGTTGTGCACATCTTTGGTAGTGCCGTGGTTTGACCTTCGGACGGCTGATATGCGAGACAAGCGTCTTTTCACCAACTCATCCACCAACTCACCTGGATGTATGGGTCATCTCGCCCGAACAAACGAATATGTTCATGCGACTGGTTTGTCCGATGGCCCAGTAGCTATCCCGGTTCTATCGATCGTTTATTCAGGTGCGTCCGGCATGCGCTGGACGTCGTCATAGCCAAGGATATGCACTACTGACGAGATCTAATAAGGGCGAAATTCGAGTCCAGTACTTATTCTCTTTGGTATGAACTCGCCAGAATCATTGCCTCGGGACAGGGAGAAGGCTGTTGAAACGGGACTGATAATTTCTACAAATCCTACAACCACCTAGAAACAATCGAAATCTGTTCACAGGTTTTAAGTTATCCTGACTGAGAAGACCTAATAGGTGGGGCAATCGAAGGCATTAATCAGCCGACTGCAGCTATAAGCTATCGAGATAATATTTTCAGCTGACCAACTTTCATTTTGTGGCGGCTCCTTTGTAGAACAAAAGAGGCCTACTGCGATGAGTTGCTTTTAATGTGAAAGAGGAGAGGACTGAAATGCACAGCTTCTGTATATTTGGAGATACGAATATAAAATGTAAGTCGATGTTTACGGACGTTTTGTGAAGAGATTGCCCGTAAAAGGTAACCTCAAAATTAATAATCGCAGGGAGACAAAGACCAGCGACAGAACTTGAGCTTAACAGTTTAAGATTTCATCTGTCTGCTTCAAAAAAGGACAAAGAAGGACAACACTGATACAAGTTCGAACAAGTTTAGGCCATTTGTCCGAGATGGACTGATATGGTTTAAACTTCGTCGTATTACTATTTTCCAACGTTGTGACTATGAATACAAAGCTGCATCTTGGCAGAACGAAAAGCAGACGGTAAGGTGGTTTTAACCGAGTGACTCAGACATGAGATAGACGGTGCTGACATGGTCAAGGTCCGTCTTTTAAACCTGCACGTTGTACGTTATGACATGGCTACAGTGAGATTGCACTGGAAGTCTCACTTGATGTAAATCGCCAAATTTAATGGCACACGTGCATTGTTTGGCAAATAATATGATTCACTACGTTTACAACTGCCTTCCGGTTAAGGTAGCCCATGGTTTATTCGAGAGTTCCATCCCATTAGGCTTCGTAGGCTGTTCCGCCCATAAAAGCTTACCTCATTTGTCGAGTTTACCCAGGTATACCATACATATTTCATCTTCGCAAAGTTCGACCACCTCCCGGATGTGGAGAGCATAACCTTACTGATTTTTCAGTTTGGATCAGTAAACACGAGAGAAAAATTTTGTTTTGTATCTCTCTCTTACGACTGGATACCCATTCTTCATCGACTACGACCAAGAATCTGTAGCTTTTAGAAACGTTCAAATACTAATTGTCCATACCAATTCATCTGCTTATGAGTTTTGTGCACGAAATCGTTTCATGGACAAAGCCTACATTCAACGCAACTTATTTTTCCTTGGCACTCTAGCTGGACTGCAGAACTATTTCTATGGGACAGGGTCAAGAAGTACACGCACGGCGCCTACTGGCAAACAGTGTGAACGCTGGAGGTTGGGTGATCCTGCAAAACTGCCATCTCTCTCTTAACTACATGATCGAGGTTTTGAATCAGCTCACCGACGCGGAACAGTTGCATGACACGTTCCGTCTCTGGGTGACTACTGAAGTGAATACACATTTCCCGATATCGTTTCTTCAGACAAGCGTGAAATTTACGAATGAACCACCACAGGGCATCAAAGCGAGCCTCAAACGCACTTACGGAAGTTTCACACAAGTATGTAATCCTGGAAAGAGGTACAATCTAACCATGTGCAGTCGTTTACCCCATGCCTATTACTAAGTGACGATAATGCGCCTATTTTTACGCAACAGGCGATCAAGTTAGCGCTGATCATGACTGTATTGTTGTCCTCTCCAGTGTGGAGACCTTCCAGAAAACGGTAGAATTTCTCTGGTATCAGTTTTACATCCTGAACCATCGGATTCAAGCTGAGTAAGCCCAAAATGACAATCATTTTCTTTTTTTTTTTTGAAAAAAGCGTTGCAACGGTTGATCGTTGAGTGAGAAGATAATTCGGTAATTTTCAATTGAGATTTCTTTCTGTTATATCGGTTAGTTGGGAAACGTTGTCCAGTTCAAGTTAATCATAGCTTCGCGGTCAGTGGTCCTTTTCATTCATATTACGCGTATTTTGGTCTGTTAGAGCTATCAAACTTTGTTTTACAGTCTTTGGGAATGAGAAACAAAGTGAAGTTTTGCCGTAGTAACATCTTTTCATAACTTCAAAAAGGAAGAAGCCTGCTAGATGTACTATTTTTGCATTATTCCTGACAGGATTTTCTGGATATCAGTAACCTACCGCAGTGGAAGCCGATGGTTTTCGCTGTCTCGTTTCTGCACACCACCGTACAGGAAAGGCGTCAATACGGTCCACTCGGCTGGAACATTCCTTATGAGTTCAACATCTCTGATCTGAATGCTAGTCTACAATTTGTTCAGAATCACCTTGATGAGCTGAACGCCAATAAGGTGAGTTGCTGACGTATAAGTTCTTAATGACAAACTCACTTCTGTTTTACCATTAAGCATACAAGAGATGCAGCCCACAAGGCATTTTTACTGTTTATTCAAGTATGCTTTTATGTGCATTCCATGATAAAGATCTGTTAAGTGAGAAAAGCCAAAACTGTGTTTACAACCTGTTCACAAATTCTTCATATGAGAGAGTTGCCCTGTCTTCACTGCCATACCCCGACCAAAAAAACGAGTTCTGGCAAAATTCTGTTTGGCCTAAGATTAACTGGGGTCAAACAAATGTATCTTCTGTTGAATATACCTAAATACGTCTTCACGTTGTCAGTATACTTGCAGCCATATTGAAACCGGATCCTTCTAGTCTGAAAGAAGCGCTAAGAGTAGAAGCTATGTTCAATACTGTTGAAGACTCAGGAGTAAATGTCGAAAGGATGTCTATCGTTGGATGCAAACTAACTCTCTGGCAGTGATGTTGCCAAGTGTACATCCCTCTGTGACGATTTAGTATCACAGGGGTGACTGGTAAGGGGAAGTGCAATGATCCCGGCAATTCCCCCCTCCGATTAGCTCTCTCCCCAGCGCCCACTTTCTAACAACTGGTTCGAATTTCACGGACTTTTTGTTGGTTTGATGGACAAAACACCTCACATATTCAAGACTACGATCTTCAAGGTATTCAAACGCGCTACTTCTGCTTATTAGCCCGGAGCCAGTATCCTATTGAGGAAGATTTGGATAGTTAAACGACGGTTTCATCAATTCGAATTCAGTTGCAAAACGGTACACGTGTTTAAATGAACTTGAATGCATTCATGAGTCACACGGTAGACCCAGATTGAACTGTCTGCCTCCGAATGCCACTCAAGGTTATACAGTGCCATTCAAGTATCACCCGTTCATAATTGATGGTGCTTTGGGATGAGCCAACAACTCTACCTCATACAGTTTTTCAAGTGAGTTCCGTTGTTATGATAGTACCAAACAAACCAATGCAGACTGCACAGTCATCAGCGTACATGGCTACAGGGAGTGAGCCCATCATGATACTGTTGATTACACTGGACTGCAGGGATGTATAACAATCGACTTACATGTCACCTGTGATACATCGAGGGGATTACGTTCTAAGTTATCTGACATATGCTCTTCGCGTGCTGGAGTGTCACTAGGATGAGACAGTGGAAAACGCGTTACGGCAAACTGATCGAGCAATGTCGTGCACCGCACATTCCAGTAAGATAGAACGCGCACAAATTGGACATTTCGACCTTCACTTACATCCCATTTCCGCTTTTCAATTAGCCAAGTTTATTTCAGGCGGATCAGAATAAAACTACACCACCCTGGAAAGCGAACGGACATCCAATTTTTTTCTCAAAAAAATAATCCCCTGACTTAGGTACTATTTGGTGGTCATGTAAAACTAATGGTTTAATCGGACCTGTCAAATAGGTATTTCTCTCTTTTATCGAAAAACCATTTAGAACCCTTGTTGTGGGACATAACTGGACAAAAAGTCATCCAAATGATGGTCGCTCAAATCAGACATGCAGGCCATCATGTTGTGTTCAGTGTTCCAGTCCCTAGTTGGCTAGTCAGCGTCTTGAAGGGCACATAGCATCTGTTGTAAAAGTTCCGACTCAGCTTTCTGTGGAAAATGATGTTGCGTAATTAAATTCACACTAGAATTGTGCCTGATCGTGAAGCGGCAATGAGATGAACAGTGAAAATACGGTTTTAAAAATGGATGTACTGTTTGATTGATAGTGATCAGAAGTCCATTGTAAAAATTTACTGCGGTGAAAATGGTTCTCTGATTCATTAATTCATGGTATTTCATAGCACCTGATTATTGTGCGGTGGTACAAATTGAGATAACCGTGTCTAGCCCACAACATCTTTCCCTAACATAGTGTTGCACCGGAGGAACTGCAATCTCCATAACCTCCCATTGGGGTCCCCGTGGTTGTTTATGATGATCCAGGCAAGGAATGAATCCTGAGCAAGGATAACCTATGTTGTCATATCCGTCACCTGGCATCAAATTCACATCACTAGTCGAAATATCTACGTTGTCCCGGCATCCTCTTAATCACTTTACATCCTTTGTTTAAGCAAATTATTCCATCATTCTGATTCTTCTGACGTAAATGCGTTCCTGAGCCTTTCAGATTCATTGCAGTTAAGTACCGATGAAAGAAGAACAGCCCTTCGCTGCGAAATTACCTATCAACAAACACGAACTAAGCAGTTACAAGTCAGTGGAAAGGGAAGTAAACATGTCATCTGCACATAATCTCTAAAAACTGAGAATTCTCACGTAATCTCTTTATTTTCCCGGATAGTAATTAAATATCACACAATAACTAACGAACACTGCAAAGCGGTTCCACAATCTCCGTAATAAACTCCACTTTCCATCAGATGCGGGGTGGAGTTTGGACAGCAGGCCACAGACTATCCGCACTGTTTATCAGTAGTATATACCGTTTCAGTGTTACTGGTGGAGTGTCGGATTCGGTTTTGCTGCTTTTGAGATTGATTATAATAATGATAAAAATTTTGCGGTAATAATAAGCTAAATGAAGATTAAGATGTCAAGGAGAAAAGAGGCATCATTTTTTTCACAATACTATTTAATATGCCGAATAGTATTTCGTTAACTGTTTCCTCGGAACCTTTTTCACTTGCTCAGAATGTCAGATCATCTTTTTGACTTTCTACTCGTTCGGTGCATCCCAGTTTTTTTCTCACTAAAGCAATCTCCGTATAATCCAATCGGTATGACTTCAAGATGTGCTATATCCATGCCATAATCTAATACCGGGACATTTCCATTCCACGAGTTGATTAAAAAGTGAACACAGGTCACAAGTCTGATTGATTTATTCACGCCAATGACCACTCAGCGATTTCACTGAGATTGGTAGACTTCAAACTGTATTAATAATTCTTTTTTCTCAGTGTTTTAGCAGGGAACAAGACCATTTGTTGATGGTTGACCAAATGGCCGTTGATACTCTCACTGAGCCTGCCAACTAGCTTACATATGTTACGTCTCTAGTTGAGGAGACATCGTCAGTGCACAGTTGAGTGGGTCCCGCCTACTCGGCCCACTCACTACGAGCGAACGCACCCGAGCCACCAATAAATCGGCCCACTGACCACCATTTGCGTTGACGCTTAGGATATTTACGTTCATCCTCTACCTAGTAATATGTAGAGCGACCGTAGGATTTCTTTTTTTATTTGTGACATAAGTTTTCCGACACAACTGAATAGTCACGCGAGGGGGTAGTGTAGAATTTATTTTTGTCCAAATGATGTTGCGCTGTATAACACCGAAAAAATTCTCAACAGTAATCAGAGGTTTGTCACAGTCTCTATTGTCTATTTCATGATTTGTGTACTATAGGGAATTGATTGGAAATGTGTGCGATACATGTTGGGCGAAATTCAGTATGGTGGAAGAGTTACTGATGATTTTGACAAGAGACTGCTAGTTACCTATTGCAAACGATGGTTTCAAGAATCCCTATTCAATCCAGACTTCATGTTCGCAACGGACATACCTATGCCTCCAGTGGCGAAACTGCAGGATACAATGGGTTGGATTAATGATCTTCCACCTGCACACTCACCAAACGTTTTTGGTTTACACGAGAACGCAAATATTGTGTAAGTCTATCCCCTACTCTTTGTACACTATCCACTATTCAAATATCCAGATGAATGCTTATTTTTACAATAAGTATGCAATGTCATGTCACAGATTCCTTTCGTTCCCGAAAAATCAATTCTTGTATTTTATTGCCCAACATGAATTGATAGTGGAGAACAATTACCTTTGAGATAAAGTCTAGTAGTATCATAAGGAACACCCACCCCTCCTAAGTTAGTCATTCGTCTGGTCTAATTACGACCCATTTTGGAAGGGACATATTAGAGGATCAATTATTAAAATAACAATTGCCTCCAGATTTTAGCCTAAATTTCCAAACATGTACTGAAGCTCCACAATCTATTGTATCGATTTCCCTGATACATACCACACAGCCTCCGGTGGCCTATTCCACTGTGTTGATGAATATCCATAGAGCGGGCATCTACTATTGTACCGATAGATGGAACCGCTTCATTCCTGGCATTGTTTACTTGAGAGGTCACGGATTCCTATGTTTGTACTGTTCTGCACGTTTTGTGCCCGAACTGGGTTCATCCCACATCTATGTTGTTCGCACTGGTTTGTTCAAACGCAAACGTTGAAACCAGCTAGAGGTGATAGGTGGCTGAAAAATCATTAAAAAGTGCACTGTCGTGCACACATCAGGGATTTCTAACTCGGTGAGTTCTGTTCTACCAATCAACTAGAACATTTGAGTAACTTGGAGTAGTTGGATGGGGATACCTGTGCATAACTCATGTCGCAGGTCCGCTAGATGCTTAGTTTGATCACTCATGTAGTGTACGTTCAAATGCAACTGGGAGTAGCGCCCATCATATTGGTTTCAAATTAAATGACAAGGTTCTTGTCTCCCCGGCGAGCAGGGACGATCTTCGCAGTCATATTGCTCACTAGCCAGAAAACACATTCAGATGAAGGATAGCCTCGTCCTTCAGGAGCATCACGCAAAATTTTAATACTTTGCATGATTTGACTGTTGTATTTACAGATTAGTCATATTGCTCACTAGCCAAAAAACACATTCAGATGAAGGATAGCCTCATGCTTCAGGAGCTTAACGCAAAATTTTAATACTTTGCATGATTTGAACGGGTCTGTGGAATTTCATGACTGAGTCTCAAATCAGATAAAGCATGAAGTGAAATCAATTCAGCCAATGAGATTGTGTTTTCATCCGTTTCAGTGAAAAATAGTGCTTTGTAACTCAGTTTTATTCGTTACTCGAAAGAAATTCGATCCTAAACCTAGCGCATGGACAGCTGCTAGTGGAGAATTTATATCTGCTGTTGTAGTATTACACTTGTATTACTACGCTTTCGTTGGACATATAGCGCCTGGCGATTTCAGTGGTTCCACCATTAGGATCATGAAACCTGGACGGCGTTTCTTTCTCAGAATATAAGTTTCTTCCAAAAATACTGCACTTCATTAGTCAAAGCAAGATACAGACTCATTACAGCTGTTAAATATAAAGTACGTCCTCTTGTTCCGTTTTACTCATTGTTTCCTAGTTTTTTTTCTCATTGAATATTTCTTATTCCTTTTCGAAACTGTAGATATCAAAGCAAGAGAGTGAAAACCATTCTTGACTGCATTCTCAACATACAGCCTAAGGATGCCAGTGCCGGTGCTGGTGAAACTAGAGAGGACGTCGTCCTTCGTATGGCTGATGATATGTTAAGTAAACTCCCACCGGACTATGTGCCATTTGAAGTGTCCGAACGATTAGCTGAGCTTGGGGCACTTCAGCCAATGAATATTTTCCTGCGCCAGGAATTGGAACGTATTCAACGACTTTTGAGTCTTGTGCGGACGTGCCTCACAGAACTACGACTGGCCATCGATGGGACTATCGTCATGAGTGAATCTTTGAGAGAAGCTCTAGACTTTATGTACGACGCTCGGATCCCTACAAGCTGGACCAAGGTGAATGTTGCCTTCGTTTCTCCAGATCAAATTCAGTCTGATGTTGGTTGGCTATATTAATCCATCGGTTTCAAATTAAATGACAAGGTTCTTGTCTCCCCGGCGAGCAGGGACGATCTTCGCAGTCATATTGCTCACTAGCCAGAAAACACATTCAGATGAAGGATAGCCTCGTCCTTCAGGAGCATCACGCAAAATTTTAATACTTTGCATGATTTGAACGGGTCTGTGGAATTTCATGACTGAGTCTCAAATCAGATAAAGCATGAAGTGAAATCAATTCAGCCAATGAGATTGTGTTTTCATCCACTTCAGTGAAAAATAGTGCTTTGTAAATCAGTTTTATCCGCTACTCGAAAGAAATTCGATCCTAAACCTAGCGCATGGACAGCTGCTAGTGGAGAATTTATATCTGCTGTTGTAGTATTACACTTGTATTACTACGCTTTCGTTGGACATATAGCGCCTGGCGATTTCAGTGGTTCCACCATTAAGATCATGAAACCTGGACGGCGTTTCTTTCTCAGAATATAAGTTTCTTCCAAAAATACTGCACTTCATTAGTCAAAGCAAGATACAGACTCATTACAGCTGTTAAATATAAAGTACGTCCTCTTGTTCCGTTTTACTCATTGTTTCCTAGTTTTTTTTTCATTGGATATTTCTTATTCCTTTTCGAAACTGTAGATATCAAAGCAAGAGAGTGAAAACCATTCTTGACTGCATTCTCAACATACAGCCTAAGGATGCCAGTGCCGGTGCTGGTGAAACTAGAGAGGACGTCGTCCTTCGTATGGCTGATGATATGTTAAGTAAACTCCCACCGGACTATGTGCCATTTGAAGTGTCCGAACGACTAGCTGAGCTTGGAGCACTTCAGCCAATGAATATTTTCCTGCGCCAGGAATTGGAACGTATTCAACGACTTTTGAGTCTTGTGCGGACGTGCCTCACAGAACTACGACTGGCCATCGATGGGACTATCGTCATGAGTGAATCTTTGAGAGAAGCTCTAGACTTTATGTACGACGCTCGGATCCCTACAAGCTGGACCAAGGTGAATGTTGCCTTCGTTTCTCCAGATCAAATTCAGTCTGATGTTGGTTGGCTATAGTAATCCATCCCACTTACTGCAGATCTTGTCTTTATCAGCCTCCTTCTCCGGACTGAAGCTCTGATTAAATGTGGCCCTTGAACCTTGAATAGGTAGTCTCGTGTCTAATAATTTACCCCAAAAATCTTTAAAGGGACTCGACATTGGCCTCTCATAATGTCGAGTTTACAGTGAAGTTGAAGGGATTGGTAACCTGAGTAGCTATTTGTCATGTTGCCTTGGACTATGAATTTCCTTCCTGAGCAACACAAAACTCTGCAGAACGCATTTACATGTGGTGCTACAGATGCATCCGGAGGTCAGCGACACGGGTTGTATAAACCTTTTGTCATCCGAAGAAGTTTTATTGGCTCACCATCAGGCGGGATAGGTGGGTGGTAAGATATGGATGTTTGTGATCAGTTGGCATGGTTGTTCCTTAGATCCAACCGCAGACAACCGCCACTGTATTATCATGAACACTTCAATAAATGTGGAAGTTGTAGCATTAGTTTGGCTGGTTCAAACTGCATAATCGCTAACGGGCTTTTAATGTAGTCGAAATGTATCGTTTATCATATAGAAATTTAAGAGTCAAAACACAGCGTATTAATAAAGGTTGTTATAACCCGAAGTTTCGTTTGCCGTGGGCAACCTTCTTTAAGGATTTCCACAATCGATCGATCATAAAGTTTTAATCCACTACGCTGTTTTGACTTTAAAATTTCTGTATTATACACCACATGGCGCCCAATCTTTTTTATACTATCCCAGCCACATTTTACCCGGGACTACTGTGTATTTGTTTATCTTTTCAGCCATACTTCCAGATGCGTTTTAGTTTGATACGTAAACTTTACTACGAACTTTATTCACCTGAGTAGAACCCTTTCAACTGGACCACTATAGTGGAAACTAGTCGACCGCCGCTGTCCGATTTACAGTATATTTACAACTAATTATCGGCAAAGATGACCGACTTAAAGAAGATGTAATGAAACTTTTTGTTGCAAAAATAAAAAAAGTGAATTTTATCCCGAATCGCGAAACAAGTCATGCTTTTGCAGATTGTATTCCCAAAGTTGCTCACGGCTAAGAAACTTCTCAGTGCAGTCAGCACTTTTCTGAAACCGACTCAAAGATTTCCATATCGGGCTCCCGAACTACTGATTGATTCTTATAATACTGGCGAAAGAAAGAAGGACGTTCGCTGTGAGGTTATTATCAAAGACGAGCCAAGCGCTTACAAGCCGTTAGACAAATTTACGCCTCTCATCTGCGCACGGTTTATGAGAAGTGAAGATCCATACACATCCTCTTGAAATTTTCCTGAACGATCACTGACTAGCAAACAATAGTAAACGAACACTGCAAAGCGATTCCATAATGTCTGTAATAAACTGCACCTTCCATCACATACTGGATCGAAGCTTGGACACCAGACCATGTATCGTTTCCATGCTTCACCAGTTGTGTACACCGTTACACTGGTATGCTTTTGTCCGACCGACAAGCACATTCATTAGCCTAGTTGCTATTTTTTGTGCATACTAATCCTAAAAGGGCAAGTTAGGGAAAAAAGGATAGCATTAACATTCTGATGGCCCTCGCTTTTTCACTAAATCATACCTAACAGTACATCTATTATTTACTCTTCGGCAGTATCACTTCTGCCAAGAACGATCACCTCTGGCAGATACGACCTTTACTTTGCTTTTGTTCGCATGGAATTAGGGGCTTGGGTAGAGAGCTGGATGCTCCATGAGCTGAACTGGCCTTGGCGGAATACTTCGGGTTTTCTAGTTCATTCTCGGAGCATTGATGTGAGCTGCCCCTGGATATCTAGCTAACCTGGCTGGCTCGACAGATAAATCGGAGGATATACGTTCAGTGCCCATCTGTTGACTTTCCAAGATTATTTACGTTCAGACTATCTTCCGTGAGCATTGCTTCGTCGACATAGTCATCGACCCAAATGGAAGTGTGACTAGTTCATTCGATGACCATCGGTTCCTTTTAGCGGGAAACCAAACAGTCACACAGAGGATCGATTAAATACTTCAACTAGCCACTCCAGGTGGATATATTTCCCGTTTCCCATTTTTAGTGTATGTGTGTGTGTGCACGTCATCGGTGGGCAGCCTATGCAGATTCATGGTCGTATTACACGTTGGGATACTGTTCCATAAAAGTAGTTCTACCACTTAACGCGCCCTCTATTGGTCGCACTACTTTATTTTACTTGCGTCCACGTTTTTTCTCAGACCGTCAAATATAGAAGTTGGTTGTTGGTATCGTGAGAAGATTTGGAGATTTTGGTGGAGATTTGGTCCTGTAAGTGAAGCCAATTTATGCTGAAAACTCGGGAAGCACTGTTCAGCTGTTTCATCCCTATTGGGGTTCATCAGCAGTGCGAAATTTCACGAATTTCCAGAGTGTCGAGCCGCCCGAACAGTTGAGCGTTAAAACAACATGCCAGGAGGTCGCGGGCTTGGGGCTCTGGTGGCCGAACAGTTGAGCGTTAAAACAACTTGCCAGGAGGTCGCGGGCTTGGGGCTCTGGAGTTTCTTGAGATACGCAACGCTGATGATTCCCAATAAGAATAAAACAGCCGTACAGCGCTTCTCGACTTGTTAGTATAGTACAGGACGAACTAGAAGTTGGTACAAGTACTGCAGTCGAGTGGTTGTGTCACGCTGTTTCTCTTGCATTCGTCAGCGTCAGTCTCCGGTCTGGAAACTGGCTTACCGGGGCTTCCCTGTTATGGAAAGGGATTACCGCTTTAGTTGTTTCTTCCCGTTGCTTTTTGCTATTGCTCAGGTTTCTTCTTTTGGGATAATGTTTCTCTGACACTCGAAATAGAAGTTGATCCTAGATCTTCATCAAATAGGTTGTGACTTAATGCCTCCGCTTATTGTGCCACATTCGGTGACTTCTGGGGTAGTTTAGTATCTGCTCCGTATGTGTCCTCGTCCGTTACAATCAAGTTTTCATAGACCCACCCAACTTCCTCTTCACCTGTGCTTTCAAAGATGATAATCCATTGTTTCTTTCTGGTTCAGTTGTAAAGCTGATGCCTTCTGATATAGCGATATATTCGCATCCTGTACTAAATTTTTCCATGCTGAAAATGCCACCTAATTGGCTCAACCGTAGCTTGAGGTCAGTTATGCATAGAACACGTTCCACATTCTATATTACCACTCAGAGATGAATGCTCGCATCAGATATGCAGGTTGAATCCTTTTCAGTTGTTGATATATTTTTCCATAGAAGACGAAGCGTGAATTCATGCGGAAGTTCAAAATCTTGTACGGTCTTTCCATATTCTTTTGTATTTGTGTAATGATGTTGTTTAAAGGTGTTTGCGGGATTTCTAGAGTGCACATCCACACCAATCTCTTTAGAACACTTTCCTCCTGTTTTGGCGTTTTTATCTGGTGAGTCCACACCAAAGAAGGGGAGCGCTGGACTCGAGTTTCCTTCTCGTTAGAGCTCGTCAGCAGTGCGTCTTTGGCGGTGCCGAGGTTTGAACTCCGGATATTCAGCATGCGAGTCAAGCGTGTTGTCACCACTCCACCATAGCCAGGACAGGAGAACTGTTTAAACGAGAGTGACGTGAAGGTGGTTTCCACTATTGTTTTGCGTTCACCGCTACCCAAAATACTGATCCGATCTACTGAGCTACATAAACACACGCTGAAGAGGTTACTTTGATTGGCGATGAGAGGTTCGTGACCTAAATGCCTAGCTAACTGAAAAGACCAACCACGCCACTGTGAAATCAGCACAAGGGCTCAGTATAGGTCAAATTAAATGAAATTTTTGGACGAACTACATCTGGCCGTTCATGCTGAAGGATTTTCCTATCAGATGAAATTTTCTATGCGACCACTTCGTTGAACGTATCTGTATTTGGAAAGTTTCAGCTAAACGGCCAGACATCCTCCCACACATACATGATTCTAAAACAGCAATGCGGTCTGAACTTCTGGGGTATTGTTCATACAACAACAGAGGTGTTCTGAAATCATGAACTTGGCTGAATTTGCGGAATATCTGTGTGTCAGAACGAGATTTCAAATGTTAAATTCAGCAGGCCGTTTGCTGACTCCCTCTTGCTTTTCGCAGTATTCAGCTAGGATGTGAATGCATCTAAACACTGAGATCATGAGAATAATCCGGTAAAATTTGCGAAATAAGTTGTTGCGATTGCCCCCCAATTACTTTAACATCAGGCTATTTTATTCCCAACTGTTTTTAGCCTGGCACTGCAAACTACTATTCATCCGCACATCACCATCAGTTAAGTATATTGTAGTCAAGACGACATACATACCTCGTTCCTTGGTTTCATCTCCACTGGCCCTTGTTTTCTACTGTTCAGCTCTCATGGGACTCATCAACCCTTGGATTCTGGTTCACAGAATTGGTCGAAAGGAACCACCAATACTCCGAATGGTTGCACGATGGACGCCCGTCCTGTTTTTGGATGACTGGGTTCTTTAATCCTCAGGGTTTTCTGACAGCTATTCGTCAAGAGGTTACTCGGAGTCATAAAGGCTGGGCGCTGGATACGGTGATCTTGTGGAACGAGGTGATGAAAGTCATGAGAGATGATATTAACCGACCACCACCTGAGGGCGCTTATGTTTACGGGCTGTTCCTGGAAGGGGCTGATTTTGATCGTCGCAATTTGCGGTTGTCTGAAGCCAAGCCAAGGGTACTATACGAACCAATGCCGGTCATTCATATACAAGCACTCGATGTTGCGAAAGACAAAGAATTTGCAAAAGACCGGTTAAACGATATGTATATTTGTCCGGTGTACAAAAAGCCCCGTCGCACAGACTTGACGTATGTAGCTTCATTTTATTTGCGTTGTCCACCAACAAAACCGCCCGATCATTGGATACTTCGCGGTACTGCACTTCTCTGTGATATACGCTAAAACTCGATAAAGATTCTTCATTTGTCACGCTACAGGTAAACCAGTTCGCAAACCGCTACTTTGTTTGTGAGTAGAGCTCTCTTGTGTGCCCCCGAAATAACAAACGCTTTGCACTTTTTCACTCACATTCATGTTTTGAAATGAAGTCATTTACATAAATATCATACATTAACCTCTATGATGAATTGGATAAGACTGAAATCAAGTTTCCGTCGTCTTGTTCACTAATCAACGGTGAGTGCTGTGAAGTTTTCAGGAAATAGCGGACTTACTGTAGCTTTCAATAGGACACAAAACTTCTAATTACGATCTAGAGGCAGTGCTGAAGCCTGAGGAGTCCACAAGGTGAGCTTAAGATGCCTTAAGTCCTGGTCGCGCATTTTAAATCCTAGAACTTGTTTACAGTAGTATTGTATTGCTGGATTTGCAAGTGTGTATGGGAGAACAGCTCGGTAAACTGGGTTGGATGGAAAGTCCGGGAATACTAAAATTGTGGGTCACCTTTACGTACAGCGCTGTTCTAGCACCTGTTTGGGCCGACGAAACCCCTACCAGGCCGGAATCCCGCTTACTGCTCTGCAGCCAGACCGTGCTGGTTTTAGTTGACCTCGATTTCCAGCCACTCTTTGCCACCCAAGACGCCCAAGTACGGGCTGCCAACGGACCCAGTTGTGACTTCGCGATGATTGTACAGCGACTGTCATACCCAGTCTGAAGGCTTACCCGCGTTTCAACATGAGTACTATTTCCCGGCCGGACGTGTTGCACACACCAAAGAAAACGTCACATTCAGTTTAATTTCTACCAAAGCTCGAAATTATTGGCCACTCTACCTTACTCTTTGCTCATGCCGTTCCAAATCCCACTAATTCTTCCGATGGCACTATCAAGGCACTATCAGTTTAACGGTGAAGATGAAACCTTGCCGCGCACCCGATACAGCAAAACAGTTGTGTGTATCACTGTTTCCCTTGCGTGACTTTTATTCTGAAAATGCCTCCATTTGGTTGTACTCATGGATAGAATCTGTTTGTTGCTTCGCGCTGTCTGACTGCTAGAATAGGGCATCTGTTTTCTAGTCTACCTCATGGTGATAACCCGAACACCCACAGAATGCTGTGGTAAGATTACACCACAGTAATCGTGCTCAATAAATCCAGGGTCGCCATGTAACAAGACAGGGTATTATACCGCGACCACCGTCGTCATTGCAGCCAGACCGTGCTGGTTTTAATTGACCTCGATTTCCAGCCACTCTTTGCCACCCAAGACGCCCAAGTACGGGCTGCCAACGGACCCAGTTGTGACTTCGCGATGATTGTACAGCGACTGTCATACCCAGTCTGAAGGCTTACCCGCGTTTCAACATGAGTACTATTTCCCGGCCGGACGTGTTGCACACACCAAAGAAAACGTCACATTCAGTTTAATTTCTACCAAAGCTCGAAAGTATTGGCCACTCTACCTTACTCTTTGCTCATGCCGTTCCAAATCCCACTAATTCTTCCGATGGCACTATCAAGGCACTATCAGTTTAACGGTGAAGATGAAACCTTGCCGCGCACCCGATACAGCAAAACAGTTGTGTGTATCACTGTTTCCCTTGCGTGACTTTTATTCTGAAAATGCCTCCATTTGGTTGTACTCATGGATAGATCTGTTTGTTGCTTCGCGCTGTCTGACTGCTAGAATAGGGCATCTGTTTTCTAGTCTACCTCATGGTGATAACCCGAACACCCACAGAATGCTGTGGTAAGATTACACCACAGTAATCGTGCTCAATAAATCCAGGGTCGCCATGTAACAAGACAGGGTATTATACCGCGACCACCGTCGTCATTAAGGCTGCAAATAAGTTGGGTGAACTCTTTTCTGTGCAAACCTATGTACGGAAAAATCTGAGTTCCGTGTTATTGGAAAAACGAACACTAGCGTTCAGCGATGGAGAACGGTAAATCTTGACTGCCCAACAATGCTAACAAAAAATGCAAACTCGCCATCGGTATAAAGGCTACAGTCTACACGCCTTAAGGCGTCTTATCAAGTTGGGGTAATAGCATGGTAGTGGTACGCAATGATTAACTTTTGATTGCCAGTTGTTTCCAAAATGCCTTTATCTCGCTGCAATTGAAGATAAACAGGCTTACTATTTTGCGTTGCTAAGTTGATGCAAAATGCGGTCACCTTTCAGTGCATCAAGCCCGGTAGCATGACCAGCATATGTAAACAATATTCGGACGAGATGATACCAAAGCGTTTGCACGTACTACATCCAGCATCCGCTTACGTCAAGAAAATTTATTAGATAGAGATCACCACTATCAAGGGTTTTTGTGATAAGATGGTTGTCATGCAATCGTTTCCAAGCAGCATATAAACAAGAGGCACTTTCCCTTCATGTAACCGACGAACAAGCCACTTTCGAAAGCTGGTGTACGACGCTGGAGAGCTACAGATTCCTGCAGCTTAGCAAGTTCAATTTATGGTCGGCCATTTGCTAGGTGCCTGTAAAAAATTTGGTAACTAACTCACATTTTTACACAATGTCTTTGCGATAAATTGTCTTGGCGGAAAACGTCTGCGCGTAGACCGAAAAAAGAAACAGAATACATTATGTCCAACATCGACTCGAACTTCTTGCGCAGATCTAGAAAAATATGTTGTACCCTAGCCCTTCCGTAGCATATCACGTAATTCTTGTCTGGCAATAAATTACCTATTTACAGCGCCACCTCAGTAATTGTACTTATCCTTTCCTCTGACTCTTCCCCACTTGATTAGGCTTCCTCGAGGCCCACGCTCGCCGGTTTTAGTGTAGGCCTCATTATTTGCAGATACTCACCGCGTGGATCGACAAAAAACAACATCAATTCTACCGTCTTCACCATAACTTGCAAATTCCCATACTTGACTATATTGGTGTCCTCGAGTTAACTAAGAGCTTCCGTCTTGGACACCGAAATCGAGCACTCGTGCTTACGTTTGTAAACGGACCCTCCCGTGATCTTTAGTATCTGGTTAGGGTTGCACGTACTTGTGCACCTGATAATTTGAGGCCCATTGCTTTGTCTTATTTTCCCCAGTCCGTCCTTAATGTTTGTACCTCATCTAACCTTGGATCCCTGTCGACGTATGTCATTCACTTCCCCGATCCTAATAAAATTGTCCTATCTCATTATTGTCAAAGACTGAAGCTGGGATGGTGAAGTGTAAGATTCACTCCTTATTGCTCGGTTGGCAAATATCCTTCGATCAAAGTCGAATTTTTAGATGATGCTATCACTACCGTCAGCTCCCAGGCGGTTATTAGACCCTAAATACCCTCATCCACCTCCTCATTGTGTCCAAAGCAGCGCATCGCAGCCAAGAGACCCAGACCCCACCCCCATCACTTTTCAGAGCCAGTCAATAGAGTGACTTCAGGCTGCTCGGTATTATCAACCGATATTTCCATGCCGGTCCCACTTGGAGCTCTCTTTCCCTCCCCTACTAGAAGAACTTTATGTTCACACAGACCTGGCAGATCTCAGAGCTCGTATGCATAGAATGTAGAATGAACTAGGTTCCTTTCGAAGCATACAGCCAGTTGCTTAGCTTCTAGCTCCTGAGGCAATATGCGATTCGTCAGGTTTTTCAGAAGCCTCAGTTCTTATTGACACACTTGCCTCCGGGACTGGTGAGCACCCGAAATGCCGTCACCAAGTCCTAATATGCAATGCCCCCTAGTGTATTCCGCTCGAGCGTGCAAAACTGCTTTCCTGACAGCATGTAACATGCTAGACACTACCTGCGCAGACCAGCGGCTAAAAAAGCCGGAAGAATCCTTGCGTTGCCCACTGCTGACGTGATTTAGGAATTGGAACGATGCCTTACATCCACTGACGTTCCAGGCCCTTCTCTTCTCCCGAACACTCCAAACTGTAAAGGTCAAGGCCACTCTTACTCGGCTGTAAATGCAGCTTATTGAACTTCCATCCTCCAAATCTCCAAAGCGGACCACTTGAAATTGCCAAACGGAGCCCTCTTCGTTTGCCAGTCTGCTGCAGTCACTACTCTTAGTGTGAACCAATTGGTGACTCAATCACAGACTTCCCATAGCACCAACTTCTTGGACAATTACGCAAATCGGATCATCACTGACGCACATACACCCAAAAGTCAACAACCCCCTGCTTCGAACGGAAGCTTAATGGGTCTGCCTGCTGTCATAGCAAATTTTGTTGTGTTGCTAGCCTTCCCCGTAATGTGTAGCCAGGTCTAAGTCGTTTAATGATCCAGCCGCCATCCTAGTGCTTTAGCTGTCGTGTGGTCACAAAATTCCTGATACTCCAGCACTGCTTTTCCTCCAAGTCTTTAGTGCCCTCTCGTCAAAACTCACGAGATATGGGCACTGGCTCGTTCCCTGATGCCGAGCAAACCCGTTTGTTGGCTACAGGACTTACTGATTTCGCTCACGACAGCTGGCCTCCACTTCTGCCCCTGGGCACCTACCTAGGTCGTCTATGACCCCAAGTTGAGCTAACGAACTTCATTGCTGATTTGACCCACGCGGTGTTAAGTCATTCCCTATCTGAGGCTGCAGTCGAAGATGGCAACACCAACCGTCGCACTAGATCCCCTGGCCTGATGATGCTCCTAATTTCCCCACCAAAGCGCTTCCTTAGGGTTGAACACCTGCTGCCAAAGCCTGGTATCATAAAGCCTTCTACCACACTAACTTCCTTTGCTCCCACTCTTCGACCTTCCCCTACGAATTCAACCATAAGCCGAATCGTACGCGAATTTACTTGTGGCTCCCCAAACCGCGCGGGATCTCTAACCCAAAAATGTCGCTGCATAACCTTGGTTAATGTCAAGTTCTGCCCCTCATACTTATTGCCTGAGATCCTTTTTCAGATGTTACGTGCTCCTCCACAACCGCCGCTTCTTCCTAAGCCATGTGCAGCCCCACCCGTACGATCTTCAACAAGCATGTCAAAATACACGTACCGCATGCCTAG